AACGATGTTTGGTCTATCTTTTGATAGGTTAGACCTCATGATTCAGTCTTTCATTTCAAAGCTCAAGATGTTAATATAAAAGTGTTCGAAAGTAATAAAAAAAAGCTCGGTACATGCCTACATAATACGAATCCAAACCGCACCAGAAAACCCCGATTTGCCCATGTAAAGCTAAAAAGAAATTTTGCGATATTTCCGACTGAATTTACGCAAAATTTGCGTTAAATGTTTTTTAGCAAAGTTTGTCGAGAAAAATATCATTAAATTCCATTAAATCCTGAGTGATCGTTAAAACGCGGGAATATTCTCATGCATTTTCACGCGTGCATTGTTTTGAACAGAGATTATCTCGTTATTCATCATTAAATATACTATTCGTTTTCATATGTTAGACATTTTAACGTGTTTTAATGAATGTTTTCAATTATAACTAAATTTATCTCGTCACTCATCATTGAATATGATATTAGTTTTCACGCATTTTAATGAATGCTTTCTATTTTAACTAAAGTTATCTCATTGTTCACTGTTAAATATACTATTCGTTTTGTTAGCACATGTTACATATTTTAACGTGTTTATCAAATTCTTTCAATTTTTATCCTTATCTAAACAAAGTTGATGTTTGTGAAAAGAAAATACCATACGACTCAATGCAGTGTATTAGCATTATTATTTTAAAACAAGAGCAAGCATACATCATTAACAAAGCATAAAGAAGTGTATATTCTATGATTAGCTGTGAATAATGACGAATTTTTTGAGCGCACTAAAACCGAAAATGATTGGATGAAACTTTTAGAGAGAATCACGTTAAATTTTCTGATATTAATAATATGGAACAAAATATTTGATCAGTAAAATAGATTAAATGATCAGTAAAAAGTTATATAAATTGTCAATATAAAAATTAAATGATCAGTACCTAAATTACCAGAAAAAATGAGGATGATACGAGGGTGAGGTTTTTGATCATTTAAGTGATTATTGATAATTCATTCAATTTACTGATCATTTCATGTATTTTACTGATCACTTCATCCATTTTACTGATCACTTAAATCATAGCCTTAATTATATCTCTAAAGGCTATTATTTCTGGCTCCAATATAAACATCTGTCATTTTTTCAATACCAGAGAACAATATGGAACGGTTTTTATATTATTATTTCGATTTCTGTCGTTATTATAGACTTTCGATCATTAGCATTTGTTACCGTTGCTTCATTAGCATTGATCTTGATATGATTTTACAAGAACAATGTAATGATCCAAAGTCTAATGATAGTAAAAATCATAAAATCAAGCAATGCTCTCAGTTCACCTATTATCAAACTTTTCGCTATTTTGAAGAAAATGTGCTTTTGAGAAATGCACCAGTTAGTCAATCTTTTCAAAAAATGTCGAGTAAAATGGTTATAGATCAATGGTAATAGATGTTAATGGTTCAAAGTCTATAATAACCACAGAAATCGAAATAATTATATAAAAATCGTTCCATATTGTTCTCTAGCATTGAAAACAAATGCCAGATTTTTATATTGCAGCCAGAAATAACAGCCTCTATAGGGTATTTATGAACTTTGTCTTTATAAATAAAAACGCACAGCTCTCATCTCAGAGAAAAAATATTGGATTAAGCTTGATCAATAATGCAGTTATAAGCGTTTATTAATTGATCAGCCTTTTGAGACACTCTGTGTAATCGATCATAACATCATTGTCTACTTTGTAGATACAGCTACTTTTCCTCCACAATGCCGTACCTATACAACGATTAGTGATGCAACACGTTTAGCTACGGCTGTTGGGGGAAGCTACTGTGACACTCAATTCAATCATGTCAAAACAAACATGCCATTCTACGTTCGTTTCACTGCTCCAGGTGGTACCAAGTTGGCAACATCAGTCGTCAATTTTGGTTTGGGCAATCGATGTGGTACAATAGCTGCCGGTTGGACCAATGCAACCTATCCAGCAATTGTTGGTCAAACTGTTTATACCATTGTTTGCTTCGCATACAAAGGCAAACCTTGTTATGGTTATATCTATTGGATTCCAATTACAAATTGCGGTGCATTCTATGTACATGGCTTATACTATCCAAGTTATTGCAATTATCGTTACTGTACTCAGTAACTGAGTGAAGAGCACGAAAAATGAACTCTACAAAGTGATGAATCACACAAATTTTAATCTAACCGTTTTTCTCTTCCTCATTTTTTTTTCTTTCATTTTTTTCAAACTTTTTTAATCAAGATTCTATTCATACTCTTGAGTTTTATTATTCAAATTTCATACTAATAAACTTATATTTTGGGTGTGGGGTGTGGGTGTGGCTGTTGCTGTGGCTGGGATGTGTGGGTGTAGGTGTGAGTGTGGGTGTGGGCTTAGATATGGATGATTGTCCTCCTCACTCTAACCTTCCACACGCACACCCACACCTACACCCACACCCACACCCACACTCACACCCACACACCCACACCCACACCCACACCCACACCCACACCCACACCCACACCCACACCCACACCCACACCCAC